ATTTTACACGACTTTCCCTTTGTTTCAAATCTGCCCTAGCTCTGGCATCCAGCTCCTGTTCTTGGCCTAATGAAAATTTGATCGTCTTGTCTTCCAATGCTTTGGTCTTCTAAAATTTCCGATTTATTTTCTATTATTTTTTCATATTTAATTATGTTGTCCAGTGTTTGAAGTTCTGTTAGCTCCACTCTGAGGGCAATCATTTCCTGACATAATTTTTTTATTTCATCTAAAACTACGTTTTATTCTGTTTGTCTTGAAGAATATTCTTTGTTATTACTGAGTAGTTGCCTGGGGAACAGCATTGTTTTGTGAGGTCATAGACATGATTATATACTTTGTAGCTTTCATTGTATATTTTGTGATGTTATTTCACTTCCTCAGTACTTATGTTGTTTATAAAGCCTAATTCAGAATCTGGCCTTGCCTTTCCCTGCTGGCAGTATTTGTTTGTCTACCAAATGTGTATTGCATCTGTCTGTCATCGTTTCTCTAGTTTAGAATCTTTGATTTAAATTTATTTTGTTGGAAAAATAAATTTTGCCATAAAAGATTTCTTTCAAGTTCAAATTGATTTTGTTTTATGTAAATCACAACTAATTAAAAGTCTGGTATTTCTTTATCAATTAATCCAATGATTCAGAATTGGAACAATTGATTTTTAAGGTTTTTAAAGTTCATCAAAAGAAAGATTAACAATGGTAAAAACCAATTTTCTTCTCTCTCTCTCTCTCTTTCTTTATTTTCTCTAAATTGTATAATTGTGTCACTCTTGATCTGCCTCCTTTTTCACTTCTTTCCTTTGCATACTTCTCTTATATTGTGTGTTGGTGTAGGCTGATGATTTTTTAAAAAATGTGATATCTTGAAGACCAATTTTCTAATTATCTTAGGGGTAGTCCAATTTTTTCCTACGATTTATTTATTTTAGCTGGTTTTTCGGGTCTCTCTCCTTTCTCCTTCATTTCATTCTGTGTCTCTCCAAGTCTCCTTTCTACAAAGTGTGTCCCACTGTCTCTCTGCTTCAATTTCTCTCTTTCTCCCCTGCTTTAAATACTAGATGGTAACTTATTTAAGTTTCACTTAACTATTCTTTGCTGTCAGCCTTCATATACTATATATACTCATGTATAA